AGAATGGAAACTTTATTTCACGAGGGAAAACGTATTAACCGTAAAAGTTATCTAACATACGGCCCTCGCACTATTTTGATATTTACAGGCATAAAAAGTATTAAGGATTACGACTATTTACATTTGAGAAAAAAATAATTAGTAATGAATACAATTACAATTTAGTAAATATTTACAATTTATACAAAATAGATCTTCGATATGGTTAGTAAGGTTAAGCTTGTTAAGAAAGATTTTACGAATTTTTTGTTTGGCGTTAGTATATGAAGAGCAAGATGGCGAAGCAGCAAGTTGCTTACAATCGCTATCTAAGCAATTAAAAAGAATGGAAGCACTGTACAGAAATGTTCGTTTACCAGAGTCAGTACGCGGGAAGGGGGGTTGAAGGTCATATGCGCAAGCTCTAGTCAGAGCCTGTTGTCGAATAGAAGATAAGAATTTAAACATTTGCTTAAATGAAGATGGAGCACTGGGATTTGTGAGAATGTTAATTAGTAAGAGAAGCTTCCTAAATTTAACAAGATCAAAAATTGGAATTATTCGAATCTGGGAAAAAAGAAGAACAGAAGGAGTAGAAAAGTCAGCGTCTAGAATAATACGTGCTGCACGCTTTTGCAGTCGAAGAATGCGAAGTAAAAGTGTTTTTGAGCAGTTTCCCCAAGTTACAGAGCAGTAGATAAGACTTGAATTAATACAGGAGTTATAGAAACGAAGAGCACAGTCCTTGGTTAAAAAGGGTTTAATCCTGCGTAATAAAGCAAGTCTACTATTGATTGTTGAACACAAGTTGTCAATATGCTTGGTCCAAATTAAAAACTCGTCAAGCGTTAAACCCAACACTTTTGCTTGCTTCACCTGTGCAAGTATGTTGCCATTAAGAGTAACTGATAGAGAACGGCCTGAAGTATTCTTAAGTTGTTGGGGAGAATGAATGAGCATGGTCTTGGTTTTCAATGTATTAGTCACCATTCGGTTTTGTTGAGTCCATGTTGAGAGATCTTGAGCAACAAGGTTAAGTTTCACATTTAAATCATGAATGGAAGAACCTTCTGTTAGAACGGTGGTGTCATCTGCAAACATTGTGGATTCTGAATGTGAAAGTTGAGAAGGGAGATCATTGATAAATAAGATAAAAAGAAGGGGGCCAAGAATACTTCCTTGAGGAACACCTATTTTAACAGGACGCATATCGGATAATGTGTTTTTGAAATAAGTGCGTTGATAACGATCACTAAGAT